CCTAATTTTGTTCTTCATTTTGACACTTCTTCTTGTCTTCATTCATTCTCTCTTTTGCCATTGTTCAATTGCCCGTCTTGAACAATTTAATAGTCCCCTATTAATTTTATTTAAATAAATCTTTAAACAAGGAAGGAATTTGATAAAATTAACGACCCAATTTGAGTGTTGTCTTTTATTTTTGTGATTCAATTTTTTAAGGAGTTAACCTCTTACTCGACCGACAATTTGACTATACGATGTTGAGTTGACTTTATATTTCAGGTCTCCTAACTTTTTCTTCTCTATAGTCACATAAACACACAAGTTAGGCTTCAAAAATCTTCTTAGGGTTTGTTTTAAATCAAAACTAATGACCAATATACCAAAAAAATAGGAGAATACACATTATACAAAAGCTGAAAATAAAGTGTTAAACCTGCAAGTCTAGTCCTCTTCATCTTTAAGCCTTCAAAGGACAATCCAGAATTACCTCATTTGGTGCTGTCAGAATATCCATCTTTAGATGAGTGATTTGAAGAGGAATTTGTCCCTTCACTTATTTCTAATACAGAAAAGGAAGATTTGGTAACTTTAAATTTAAATTATGTGAAATTGTTGTAATATAGATTTTATTGTTGGCCTGCCTCAATACATATTACGACAAATGGGGAGCTCAATGTTCTTGAAGTCAGCCTATTTTGAATGCAGATATTCTTGCTGAAAGTAGGAAATTCATGGTCCTGGAATTTTATCCAATTTAAATGGAGGCCTTAACATTCTGCTACAAATTTGTAAACTCCTTCATTTGAAGATTCTAATGCATCAGTATTAAGTTTGGACCTTAATTCTGTCACTATCTTAGATGAAAATCTGGACATTGATCATATTCTTGTATCTCATATTGACAGGTCATGAGCCAAACTTACGGCCACAATGACACAGACAAACACATCTTATCTAAATGACTACGTTGCACTTGCAACTACCTCTCCCATCTCCTCACGAGCTCGATTCTATACCCACGAAGCCGAAGACCTTGAAAACAACTTCGAAGGAGTCTCATTGGGTTAGTACTATGAAGGATGTAATTCAGGCTCTTCATGAAAATAAACTATGGAAACTAGTTCCTCAACCTCCTAATATCAATGTCGTGGGTTCCAAATGGGTTTCCCCTTTATCTTTCTCCAAATGGAGCATACGCAAACTATACATGAAAAACCCATTCTTGTATAGGAATCTATTGGAACAAGAAATCAAAAAAACACAAAGAATTCAAAATTGTTTTCTCGAGCGAGAAGCTGGCGATAGGAGAGTAACGCATTGTCGCTCGAGCGTCAATTGGACGATAAGCTAGCGAAAATGCGACGCCGTGTTTCTCCCCTTTACATGTTCGAACCTTAGAACTCATAACCCAATTTATACAAATTGTATCATAGGTCTTTGACTTTTACAACACGTTACAAATTAGTCATTTTGTCCACAAAATTGCCAACACTACAAACCTAACACTATTTATACTCCACACTATCACAGTTGATTTCAGAGGATGATCAACGGTCCAAAGCAATTGGCTACTTCCCCAAAATGGATTGGATTGGATTGGCATCACAGCCCAGCAGAATCTAAAAGAGAATGGAGCAACCTCCAAGGTTTATTGATCCTAATTTTCTTGAGAGTATTTGCTTATTTAATAAATCCTTATATGGTTTAGAACAAGTGTTGCTATGGTTTTGAACAAGTGCTGCGAGCATGGTTTGATCTCCTCTCTCAATTCCTGCTTCACCTTCGGTTTTATTGCAGCAAGGCGACTCCTCACTGTTTGTATCATACTACTTTTGTCACTGTAGTTCTTCCTATTTACGTTGACGGCATTCTTGTTGCTGGTAATAATGACAACTTTATTCAATTATTGTGTCAAAAATTTGCAATTAAAGATCTTGGGCTTTTGCACTATTTTCTTGGGATCGAAATCAAGCATGTGAATGCAGCTTATTCCTTTCTCAACACAAGCACACTCATGACCTGCTTCTACAAACAAAAAATGATGGACAACAACTCCATTGCCACGCCTCAAACACTTAAAAGACCAGCCCACTTCGTTCCATAACGACACAGTTGATGCTACCAGCCTGCCAATTTTCGAAGTACTGTCTGTGCTTTGCAGTACTTAACCTTTGCACGATCAGACACTATTCATATCGTGAATTGGGTGTGCCTATATTTTAGCAATCCAAAGATGGTTCACTTGAAGGCTGTCAAATGAAGACTTCGATATTTTCAAGGCACACAACACTTTGCTCTACGCTATCTTGCAACAAGCCACATCTCATTTTACGGGCTTACCCATGGGCGGACCCAGGGTGGGTCCTGGGGGGGGGGGTGGGCATTATGCCCCCCAACTTTTGAGATTCTATTTTTTTTTTTTAAATCACGTTTGGTATCGATT